TTAGCAGTATTTAACCCATTAAATTAACACAAAATATTTTTAGGTGTACTTATGTGTTTAGGCCAACTCTCACTTAATTTTTTTTTATTTTCCCTCACAATATTTATCAAATTTAATCAAATTTTCTTAATTATGATAAATAAAAATTAATGTTGGGATGACCTTAAAGTTAATTTCTAAAATCTGCTCTAATGCATGAATACTTTGGGGTCTAAAAATTTGTAATAAAACTTATACTTTTTTTTGGGAAATATTAGATTCACACACAATTTTATTTTAAAAGAAAATGATTCAACTCAAAAACATAAAATGATATAATAAAAGAAATTACAACACTACACAAAACTAACTGACTACATCCTTAAATAATAAAAAAGATAAAGATACCTGAACAACAAAAAATCACAAATAAGGACCAACACAAAGGAGATGTCCCCCAAAAAGAAGAAGCCTAACCAATACATGAATATCAAGCCTCAAACAAGTCTAAACAATAATGAAACAAATACTCCAAAGCTCAACAAGGCCCAAAAAGTTGAATAAGAACCAAGATGAAAAAGTCTGCCCATCTAGCTGCAACCAATAATAGCGATCATTAAAGAAAGTACAGTGCATATGAGATCTCTAGAAAAAGAAAAAAAAGTGACAAAAAAACACAAAAACCAGTCACGACAATACAAAAAATAAGGCAAAAAATAAGAAAAAAATAAGGAAATCAAAATAACAAGAATCCACATGATAAGGAACAACATAGAGGAGAAATCCCCAAAAATAGATAAAGCTCATACAGGATAGGAATACCAAGCCTCAAACACAACAATACAGTAAAAAATAATTCAAAAGGTACAACTAAGTTCAGGTGTTAGAGAATAATAAACTGACAAAAACAACACCTCCAAATAAAAACAACAACCAAAAAAAGCAATAACAGAAGGAAATAAAAAAAAACATAAAATCTACAACATAGTAAACCATTAAAAGATGAGCAAGACAGCCTAACCAATCAAAACCAATTGAAGTGATAACTCAAAAGGAGGACAAAAAAAAATATAACCAACATAAGCTCAGCCAAACCTAGTCCATAACCAAGAGATTCATCCAAATTCAATGAAAATATAATACTAGTATAATGTCAAAAAATTTTCACTAACAATCATTTCTCTGAGGTAACCAAATAAAAAAAAATAGTTCTTATACTGCACTCAAAGTAAAGACTAAATACATCCAAAAAAAGAGAGGAAAGCCAAGTTAAAATCTCAAATATAAAATTAATCTTCACTAAATGGCAGAGACATTCCATCCAAGCTTAATAAAGCAAACAATATATATATGAGAATATCAAGATATACTTAAAAAAAGAACATTTAATACTCATGACTAAGACCAGGTACATTATATATATATATATAAAGGAAAGAGCCAAGAGCAGTAACCAGCTTATCAAAGAAATATCTAAAAATAGACTAAACATAACCAACATAAGCTCAACCAAACCCCCGTCCATAACTAAGAGATCCATCCAAATTCAACAAAAAAATAATCCTAGTTTAATGACCAACAAATCTCACTAAAAAATAATTATCTGAGGAAAGAAAACGAAGAAACAAGTCTTAAACCAAAATTAAGGACTTGCTACATTCCAACATGAGAGAAAAGCTAAGTCAAAATCTCAAATATAAAATTAAACTTCATTAAACTGTTGAAATATTCCATCTAAGTTTGATGAGGCAAACAATATATATGAGAAAACCATGATATACTTCCAAAAGAATGGTAAATACTCAAGATTAGAACTAGGTGCATCATAGAAAAAAAACCAAAAAAAAAAAAAAAACGTAGAGTAGTAATATGTTTTTCAAAGAACTATCCAAAAATAGAAGAAGGGAAAAAGCAACCAACCATAAATACAAAATAAAAAAAAAAGTTAAAAATTGTAGAGCTTCTTGATAGAATGAGTGATAAAGTTTTAAACTTCAATTTACTACTCTTAAAGATGATTATCCAATGAATATAACCAATATTAAAATCAACATATAAATATATGTCTATTTATGAAAATTCTAAAATTTCTCTCATAAAAAATCATACAAGCAATTTTTTACAAATTTAAAAGATAAAAATGCTTTTGAATTTTGTAAGATAAAATTCTAGAGTGAAAAATAACCTGGAAAATATTACTAGGAGCCTTAAAAAAATTACTATCAGACAAACATCTTTCATAAAACAAGTGAGAATAAGAACATTAAAAAAAGAGATAGTCATGTGTTGCAAGAATATTCATACATAAAATACAAGCAGAGTTAACATTCATACCTCATAAAGACATCATATCACAAGTTTTGAGTCCTTTGATGATAACTTTCCATATGTGAAGAGCATATTTTAAAGAAAAATCATCAAAATCAAACCCAGATTTAGCCAATTAACAGAAGGAAAAAATACATACATAAAAAGATAAACTATTTTTTTAGAATATTTATAATTAACATTCCAAAAAAAAAAACAGCTGGTAATAGGAATCTTATTAATAACTTTAATACAAAAATCAGGAGTATCATGATTTAGAGAAAAAAATTCAACAATCATTATAAATAATATCCTTAAGTTTCAAATTAAGGGAAAAATTAAACCACAAAATAATAGAGTCACCAAATTTCTCTTTAAGAGCAACCCCCTTGCTGGAGTTAATTTTTAATGTCACGTGTGTAGGGTGTTCACCTGACTTGCTCGGGATATATCACTGCTCACTCATAGCATTTTTTGGCTATGCTCATTTTCCCCAATCTCCACTCATTCTTCAGACGGGCTATTGGTGAGAGCTTAAGAGTTCTAGAGAGAACTCCATCTTTTTTGTCAAGGAGCTTAGGGTTTTTCAGAGCTTAGAGCTTGGGGCAATGAAAAAGAGGACAACTCTTCATCTTCCTCAAGGAGAGCCAAGGGAGTTTGTCATCTTTCAATTTCTCCTTCTTCTCCTTTCTTTTCCTTCTCTGGTGACTTCTCCCTTCTCTGGCAAACTATCTGGGAAGCATGACTAGGAGATCTTCATCCTAGCTTGGGGGAACAACGAAGAGAGCGTCATCCTACGTTGGAGAAGGGGAACTTCAGCAGAATTTGCAGCCTCTCCGGCAAGGAGATATTCTCAAACTCTTGAGGAAAGGGACCTGACTTAATCATCTCTCCTATCACTAGAAGTGCCCCTTCCAAAGCGAACGTCAGACTTCAATCAAACACCGCAGCAGTGAGACTCCTCAAACTTTCATTCTTCCTTTCATTAGGGCTCTAGGTTTGAATGAATGTTAGAAAAGCTAGGTTAGGATTTTTGGTGTTGCTAGATAAAACCCCATAGGTTAGGAGGTTTGCATTTCCCCCGTGAATCCTACGAGTAAAGCCTATCATTTTGTTTCTAGCACGAAATCCCAATGCCTGGGGTCATTCTAACCCTGCATTTGCACCTGCGCTTTCATTACCACAATAGAGGGGAGCAAAATCCGTCGTTTAGGCATATAGAATGGAAAATCACATTTCCTACGCCGCAAGAATTTTCCTCATGGAATTTCTTTTTGTCAGGCAAACGGAAAAGATTGCCGGTCTCTTTGTAGAAACACCCGCCTTGCCCCGTGACGATTCCACTTTATAGCCAGAAATGATTGGATTTCATTTTCATATGCATGTTATTTGCATTTGCATTGTTTTGTGTGTCGTGTATGACTTTTTAAAGTGCATAAACTTATTGATTTTTTTATATCCCTTCATTGGCTCGTCTTCTTGGCCCCACAGGCCCGATCGGCAAGACCGATCTTTTTTTGGGCAATCTGATTGATCAGCTGCACCAGCCCTATTGAACTGATTGTCATGTCTTACTGGTTCATCTGATCAGCCCCATCGGCTCGATCGAACCCACCAACAATCTTTTGGCTACTCAATCGATCAGATGCAACGGCCAAATCAGATCAATCATCTTGCTTTGTCAACCTTGTTGACCTCATCTTTATGAAATCTTTCTTTTTCTCTCTCTAGGATTTAGAATCTGGCTTTAGCCTACCAGCCCTCCTAGAGGACTAGTGTTATGACCCATACCAATTAGAAATTGAACTATTTCTTAACTCCTTGGTGTTTCGTGTATTTGGCCTTGAATCCTCAAACTTTGGTTGAGCTGCTTGGGGTCAAATTATTAAAGCTCAAGTTGAGTTTATATAAGTTTGGAAATTTCCTAGGCAACCCTTTCAATCTTTAAGACTTGACTCTATAGTTTAAGTACCTTTCAACCTTATAGGACCCTCTCAATCAGACTTCATGTTTGCTCTTAATTCATGCCTTAGGTTCAAAACGAGCTCAAACATGATTGGAATTCTTCTTAAACCACGATCGAGTTTAAATTGAAAATAAAATGAGAAATTAATTGATTGAAAAAAAAACTAATAAATGTTTGAGTTAAACATGATTCAATAATCAATAAATTATAATACTATATCCTAAGCTCAAACCACCAACCCGATCCATTAGTTTAATAAGTTAGTCTTTAAAAATTCTAAGACTAGATCCTAAGCTCAAAACAAGAGTGAGGAAGGAGTATGGACGTCACCAAAAGTGAAATCAACAACAATAACTATTATAATTACCCCATAACCCTCATGTAAAGTACGGGGCTTCAAGCAAAGTATTCTCCCTTCATCATATCATTATTATAGTAACTTCACCGCCATTTTAGACAACATTTCCCCAACCTTTCCAACCATTTATATAACCATTAGATATAGTATTAAGAGCTCTAACAAGCTTCTCACAAATTTGATCATATCAATAGCCCAACCATTCCTACGCACATCAACTTGAGAAAGTGCCCACGGCATCAACATGAAGCTCCTAGAACCATTGATTGAGTCAAAAACGAGATGAACTTAGGTATTCCTTAACTACCACCTCTAGTTTATCTCAATTTAAAACTTTGTGAAGCATACATGAATCCTACAAAAATCAAACAATATGATAAAACCCTGGGATCCTTTAATCCTTTAGAATGCAGGAGAACATCACCATCAGATACTTATGTTGACACCAAATGATTTTGGCATGTCAAAATTTTTTTTGGGGAATGATATACTTATCAAGCAATGACATTGATAATAATCGCAATAACAACATATCATACAAAATATTTTGATCATAAACTATTAGCAGGTAGGAACCCTCCATCATTTCCTCAACCTCATGCTCTCTAAAGCACCTTTTCCATTCAGTTTTGCTGAAAGGTATCTCTTTGCATACTCTTTGACACTTATCGTCTTATAAAGCTCCCCATCACCATTAACTAGCTTTGGAAAAGGACGCAGAATAGTATCAATGCTTGGTGCATTAAATGTTGCTATTGAGATTCGTTCGTCCTCCGAATTTATAGTAGCTCTATGCTCTATACTTTTGTACTTTCCATTAGTCATTACCTGTTGAGAAGACAGAGAAGCACATAAATAATAGATGTTCAAAATATATAGTTTCATTATGATGAACCCTAATTTATGCCTCTTTATGAAAGTTCAAAGAATTTGAACTCAACATAGGGAAGCAAAATTGAATGATATATATATATACACACGCACACACACACAGAGAGGCAAAATTCCTTTTTTTTCTCAAAATCCAAATTGACTTCTACATCATTGTTCTCATTTTAGCATGTCTTATATCATATTTAAATGGGCATGTTTTTTATGCTATTATATGCTAAAAAGAAGTTCATAATGATTGAGAGGTGTAAATATTGTTAAAAAAGAGTTACGAAAATGTAAAAGGCACATCAATTGACAATGCAGACGTGATGTCCTTAAAATATTGAATATCAATTGGTTATGATTAATTGATAAAACATCCCAATAATAACCTCAATCATATCACCAATATTGATGATTAAAGCTCCAGGTGTTGGTTTTATAAGGAACCATTTGTCATTTTTCTTTATCTGCAAGCCATGGACATCATTTGCTTGTAGAAGCACTGTTAATGCAGTACCATCACTGTGCGGAGAAAGACCCAACACCTTATCAGCCTGCTTGCAAGGTGGGTAATAATTTATCCTTACAGACTGTATTTGATCGCTAAAAAGATTAAGAATGTCTTCAGCATCAATCCCCAAATCCTTAGCCATAAATCTATATAGACAATCAGCAACTTCTCCAATCTTCTTTGTATATGCATCAAGGTTAGCCCTGTAACAAAATCACAGATATGTGCACACATGTTAAAAGTTAAAAAAACATACCTATATATGTAATAATTAATTTATAAATATGAAGCAACAAAATCATTATGTTTTGAAATCTGCCTGAATGTGGAGGGATTGGTAGGCCAAAATCTCATGTTTCTATTCTGAGAAGGCTGGATAATGAGAACGAGCACATCTCCCCAATCTAGTATCTGTTCTTCCGAATGTACAAACATCTGGCCATAGCCTTCAATATGCCCTGGCAACTGTTTTATCTCCTCTTTTTCTCTCAGCGGGAGCTCAAAGAACTTCTTAATATCATCCTTCATCCTCTCTATCACTTCTTCTGGTATTCCATGATTTATAAGCTGAGCATAATTTTAAGCAAAAAAAAATTTAAAAATTTGAATTTTAATGAGCAATGAGGTATGCATGTATATATACCTGGAAGAAGCCCCACTCTCTGCATGCAAATCCTAGCCTATTGACCTCCTCCTCATTGTTGAGCTCTGGACTGAGGAGCTTCTCTAAATCGATTGCCGGAAGTTCGTCGTCATCAACTGAGGCCACCGGATTGGCTTCGGCTTCAGGCCTTAAGTATCTCTTTGGGATCTCGCCGGATCGAGCGAGCTCCTGCACACTGGGCACTGGTAGGGAATGACTCAAGTCCAGAGGGCTTATAGGCTCTGTGTTGTTCATTTCTGCCTCTCTATCTAGTCTGTCCTGCTGCTCTCCTCTGCAATTTATACATATTTATGCTTTTAGAACTTGTATCTGTACATTGAATTGCATTATTTACAGATATTCAGAGCTCATAGTAATTGCTGGTGGTAGAAAATTCGCTAATGATTCAACAGAAAGTTAATTTGTTAAAATAAGGAGCTGAAGGGTAGACAAGCAAGCAGCGGTGAAAAAAAAGGACTTTCAAAAATTAAGACTTTTCCGCATGAAAATTTTGCCATCATGCAAGACTTTTCTATGTAGAAAATAATTTTCAGCTTCATTATAACCCAAAAAATCTTTCAATTTATTGAATGGATGAGACATGAGATTCATTACTATGACAATTTCTTTAAATAATGCTTTCAGGAAAGAAGGCTTGCACTCTTTTTTAAATTTTAGCAACATAAATTTGCAGTGTCTTTTTAAAATCTGTAATTTTTAAAAAAGATTATTACGATGTCTATCTAAACAACATTACTTTTTTCATTTATACCGCTCAAATTTTTCATATATTTTTTTAAATATATTTTTTTTCATTTATATCACTCAAATCTTTCATATCACATTAAAAAATCACTTTTTTTTTAATTTTAATGTTTTGATTTATACCACCCAAATTACATATTTAACACCTAAATTCTACTTTTAACATGTCATAGTCGCCCAATCACTTTGACGGAAAATATTTGCGTACGTAAGACGCACGCAGCGCTGCGTACATCGGAGGTTATTCAGAGGGTACATGAAGATTATATCCCCGTTATACCACCTATAACTTGCATGTATGTACCGGAATTACAAAAACGCAGAACTTATTTATAGATTACAGTTAGGTTACAAGGAAGTTACATAAGGTATAACACAGATATAACTCCTCCGTACCCTCTGAATAACCTCCCGACGTACGTAAATATTTTCCCACTATGACGCTGATGTAACAAAGTCGCCCAATCACATCAGCGAAAATCAACGGGGACTTCCAGCATTTTTTTTTGTGTGGTCAATTTATAAAATAAAATTAACAGGCCATTTTAAAGTTTTCAACTATTAAATAATGAAATGGTAATCAAAGACAAAGATTGTGGTGGTAGAATTAACAGCAATAAATTTTAAAAAAAAAATAAATAGTAGAAGCAATAGATGCTACGTACGGAAGAGTTGGTTGTTTGATTTCCATTCAACTAACATAATCAAATTCAAAACACATCCTAATCATTAATTATTATCTTTTAATCTAAACTAATTGCCATTAAAAGTCAAAATTAAATAAAGAAGGTACAACAGACGTAAGACCATTGACTTTGGCTCATTAAAATTCACGAAACTGACCTTCAGTAATTTTTCAAAGATATCTTATTAAAAGACCTCATTTTTTTTTTCCAAATGTCAGATATGTCTAAAGGATGCAAAGGAGAAACTGCCATCGTCCTTCATATTAATTGTCTTTTGCAACCAGTGGTAGAAAAACGAACGAGAAGAAATTATTATTTACAACTCCAACCCCACACACACACACACACACACACACACACACACACATATAACGGTTGATTAGGAGGTCATATCACATACGCATGAATTTGTGTTGATGTGATCTCTCTTATGTAGGGCTGTAAACAAGCCGAGTTTGAGCGAGCTCAGGCTTGGCTCGTGTTCGGCTCGTTCGAAATAACTCGTGTTCGAAATCGGCTCGTGAACAATGTGTTCGTGTTCGGCTCGAAATTGACTCGTTAAACTAAAATTGAGGAAAATAGATGTAAAGTGTGGGATTCGAACTTGGATCAAATATATACAAAAGAAGACACTAATCACATTTCCACATGAGGTGTTATGATTTAAACTTAGACATAAATATATAAATAATATTATTATATAAATAACAATGCAGATGGAGGAATAACACCGATAACACGGCGAGTATAACTCGAGTGTTATTCAACAAATATATGTTCGTGTTCGGGTCATATATTTCGAGCTTTAAAATTTGTTCGTGTTCGGCTCGTTAGGTTTAACGAACTAGCCGAACACGAGCTGTTCACGAACAAGGAGCCAAATTGACAGCCCTACTCCTATGTGATATGATCTCTCCATCCACCATTAGTTGCACTTCCGAACGCTTACACGTAATGATTTTTCTAATCGAATGGAAGTTCTAATAACAACTTCTTGCAATTATAATAATTAGACACTGCAGTTATAATAATCATCCTCATAAAAATAGAACTAATTAATAATTAAAAATTAATTAATCTTATTTATGTAACTAACAACCAGCTCTTATAAAACATGTTTCTTGAATGATAGCTAACTCAACTAAAACAAGAAATTTCTAGAATTAATCCCTTAATATATCTTGTTGAAGAAGCATTTATATTCTTCCTTTTTTTTTCTGAAAACTATAGAAGAATTAGTATATATGTTCATAAGAACATAGATATATGTTTTATAAAGTATAATCCCTACTCATATTATTGCTTGTTTCTTAGGAAAATATAAAACATGCTCTAGAAGGCAAAATAATATAATCCCTAAGGCATAAACCCAACAATAGGCCTACATAGGGGCATAACTAGTTTATTTTCGTTGTGGGCAATTGCTCCTGGCAATTTTTCTATATCAATAGTCAAGTTTAATACTTTTTTCCTTATGTAGTTTAAGCAATTATATGTGTGATATATTTCCTCACTATACTATTGATTTAATGGAATCATTGAACTTATTTCATCCACCATTTTTCCCACTACGTTTAGCTCTTTCACCACAAAAATTAGTCTTTGAGTTGTAGTTCAAAGCATGTTAATGTCATTTAATTTATGAGACCAATTAATGTCAAATAAAGGATAAGCCCTTCTTCTAGAATCATATTTCATAGGACAAAGTTTGAAAAAAGTTCAATAAAATAATAATATATATGTTTGTGAGGTTAGTGTCATTTAGACTAGCCCTTATTCATCCAGATTTCTTATACTCATAAATGAAATTTTATACTACTGCAACATAAATTAAAACTCTCATTTACAAATATAATTTTTTTTTTCTGAAGTACATTTTGTATAGTTTAAACATAATGTTTATTATAAAATTATTAAGTAGATGTATTAGTTAAATAAAATGGATGTGTTGCTAAATAATTCATCTAAATAAGCATAAGTTGCCTGAAACCCTTTATGGTTATAGGAGGGGAGCGACACTCTGGTGATTATTGAAATTAACCCTTTAGGGTTTCTTCGAGATTTCCATATCTTTTGGAAAAATCTTCAATTCTCTCTTATATTCCTCTTTTTTTTAATCTTTTTTACAATTTTAGGCAATTTGCTTTTTTTTTTTTGGTTTCATAGATTCTTCTTTTCCCCCTCTTCGCTCTTCTCCATCTCGTTCTATTCTTGGTCATGTGCCAACTTTAAGTTGAAAGGAATTAGTTTCTTCTATTCTCTCAAATTCGTATGGGTTTAACATGTCTTATGTGTTTTGTGCAGATGAAAAAGTTATTTTCTCTGATGATGAGGTTGAGGATGGTTCTAAATTATGAGATCTTGCCTTGTTTGGTTATGTTCTAGGTAGAATGACTTTCTATGAGAATCTTCTTCAAACTATCAGTAAGATATGGAAATTGAAGGATTTGGTTGAGCTTCTATCTTTCACTGAATGTTTCTTTCTTTTTTAAGTTTACATATCCTGAGGCGACATACATGGCCCTTGGTTTATTGGGGGCAAACAATTTATTTTTAAAAAATAGATTATAGATTTCAGGTTTAATCTTGAAGATTTCAAAGAAATTCTGATTCATATTTAATTTCCAAATCTTCCTTTATTCTATTGGTCTGAAAGTAGAATTTCTAAAACAGTTAGTAAGTTAGATATACCTCTTGCGGTTGAGTCTTTGACAACTAAAAGTTCTCGTTTGTCGTTTGCTAAGGTTAATGTTCAAATAAGGGTGGATTTTCCTCTCCCTGAATATATCACTTTTCCTTTTAAGAATAAAGAATTTATTATTCCAAGGGTTTATGAATGGAAACTGATTCCTTGTAATGCTTGTTCAGCATTCTCTCATAAATCAATTCCTTGAGCATAATATGCTTGTTCAACATTCGCTTGAGCAACCGTAGCATGCTAAGCCACTTTAGGAGCACAATGTGACCCTTCCCATTATAAAATGATTTTTAGTATCTTCATCAGTAACCATGGGTCACTTCATTCTAGGATACTCTTATACTCTAAGAAGATAGGTAATTTGTTTTATGTCATAATCCTTAATTCTATCTATTGGGTACCTAGTAAACTAACTTAAGTTTCTAGACTGGACTATTCTATGGTGTGTGGAATTAAGCTTTCATCTATGTTGACTAACTTAGGGTTCACAATTTAGTGCTAACCTAGGGTGTGGTTATAAAAAATTTAGAGTTGGTTGATTTTAAATATCGTAAGGGTTCATTATTTAAGTAATGATTTGTTTGATACATAAGTTTGTTAGTTATGGTGGCAAATCAAAGCTCTTCTAAAGTTTTTTTGTTTCAGTTTTCCTAGGTGTCTATTGATGTCAGCAAATCAAAGTTTTTTTTTTAAATTTAATTCTCTCTCCAAGGTGCCCTTATTCCTCATCATAGCTTTTTCAGTGGTCACAGACATCATATTTAAAAAAATTAAACTTAAGCTTTTTTAATTCTATAATTTTTATATTAAAGAATCTTTCATATTCTCATTGGAAAGATTTTGTTTTTTCATGAAAAAAGGATTTTTAAAAAGGGTAACTTTATCATGCAAACTAAAATATGAGGGATATGAATTCACTTTCACATGAAACATCTAGATTCAAAATTTCCTAAGACCCATACACTCATAACACAAGATTACGAAATCATATGCTTCCAGAGAGAAATAATACTCATTATGCTAAACACTTAAGCTAAAGAGTATATTAATCTTGTTTAGGTTAAGCACAAGAGAGAGTCTGGAAAAAGAAAACCTTTTAAATATTTTTACTTTCTAAGCTCAAGTGGGGGTTTAAAATTATATTTTAAAGAAAGTTATTCTTTTTGAATTGATTTAAGTTTAAGTTTTAGTAA